ACTTCACCTGATGAAGGGGCAGTGCTTCGAAAGCTTGTGATTTCAAATAAACCTATTGGCTTATAACCTGGTATCGTGTGACTTCTGACTTTGACCAAGGTGTCATGGCATTCATGGTAATGATTGTTATGGCATTTGGCCACTAGAGAGAGCTCTCTGGCTTGTTGAGATTTGACATTAACTATTTAGCGATCTTAGGTTGCAGGGTAGGACCTGTTCCTTTTTGCTTTGAGATATTCAGAATGCAGCAGAAGAAAATTCAGCAGGAAGACAGAATATTTTTTCCCGTTCTGTTTCAAACACTAGCTTTGAAAAGATGGCTCAATTCACATAAGGAAAAACATCATTCAATAGACAAGGCAGTCTGAAAATACTCTTAAAATTGAGAGGAAAACCACATGTACTAGTGATTCAAAATGGAAGGTCATGTTGAATTGCAGACTTGACCACATTTCCTTGAAGGTCCATCCACTGTCTCTTAACTGTTGATATCACCCTAAGATTGCCAAAGTGAAGGTAAATCGGTTTACTTGGCATATTTGGACAGCGGCAAATTAAAGAACATTCTAAGAAGCAGGATTATCAACAGGTGTGAGGTGAGGCTTTGGACACTGACTGCCATTAAGCATTTGACCTTTCCCTGGGCAAACCAAGAAGTCAATGCCACCATGGAGAGAACAAAAATAGCTTGCCTGAGGGATACAAAAAAGCATACTTGACTCTGGTGGAATAAAAAGAGAAAATGTTGGAGAATTACAGTAGTCTGGCAGCAGCAGAGATTGGTGCTGGGTCCACTTTTGTTTAGCATTTATATAAATGATTTAGATGAGAAAATAGAAGGCATTGTTAGTAAGTTGGTAGAGGACACCAAGATTGGTGGTATGGTGGACAGAAAAGGTTATCTAAAATTACAAAGAGATCTTGATCAATTGGAGCAATGGGTTGAAGAGTGACAGATGAAGTTTAATGTGGATAAATGCATTTTGGTAAAGAAAACAAGGACAGGACTTATACAATTAAAAGTAGGGCCTTGGGTAGTGTCGTAGAACACAGGAACCTAGGGGTGCAAGTGCATAATTCTTTAAAGTTTGCATCACATATGGATAGAGTGGTTAAGGAGGTGTTTGGCATGCTTGCCTTCATTGCTCACACCTTTGAGTATAGGAGTTGGGATGTTATGTTGAGGTTATACAGGACATTAGTGAGGCCTCTTCTGGAGTACTGTGTTCAGTTCTGGTTACCCAGTTATAGGAAGGGTATTATTTAGCTAGAGAGGGTTCAGAAGAGAATTACCAGGATGTTGCTGGGAATGGAGGGTTTAAGTTAGGAGGGGCTGGGTAGGCTGGGACTTGCTTCACTGGAATGTAGGAAGTTGAGGGGTGACCTTATAGAGGTTTATAAAATCATGCAGGGTATAGATAGGTATGAAGGGTATAGAGAACACACACATGAGCAGGTTCAGGAATAGCTTCTTTCCGGCCATTATCATACTGTTGCATGCACTCGAGCCTCAAATAATCTAACCTGCAATGTAACCTGTATGCCTCTAAATCTTTTTGGATCTGCACATCCATTGCTTGCTGTGATCGGCCTGTGCTGCTCGTAAACAAAGCTTTTCACTGTATTTCGGTATACGTGCCAATAAAATCAAAATCAAAACAAAGATAATGTGAATGGCCGGTGTCTTTTCCCGAGGGTAGGGGATTTCAAGACTAGGGGCCATATTTTTAACGTGAGGGGTGAAAGATTTTGAAAAGTCATGAAGGGCAATTTTTTTTTGCACGGAGAGTGGTTCATGTATGAAATAAACCTTCAGAGGAAGGGGTGGATGTGGGTACAGTTACAATGTTTAAAATACATCTGGACAAGTACAAGAAGAAATGTTTGGAAGGATATGGGCCAAGCGCAGGCATGTCGAACTAGTTTAGTTTGGGATTATGATTGGCATGGACTGGTTGGATTGAAAGGTCTGTTTCTGTGCTGTACGATTCTATGGCTCTGAGTTTTATTTAACCTTTGCCAATTTGCACATTGCACAGGCAGTCATCTGTCAATTACCTAACTGAAGAGAGAGAAATAAGTTAAGGATTCGAGTCCATTCTTCAGGTCTTAACTCATACTGGACTTGAAATTTTAACTCCATTTCTCTCTCCACAGATGCTGGCAGACCTGCTGAGTTTCTCCAGAATTTCCTCTTTTTATTTCAGCTTCCAAGGTATTTTGCTTTAATTTAATTCTTGAGGAATAGGCTAGGCAAATCTTTTGTCAAGAGTGTTAGAACTGTGTCTTCAGAAAGCCAATGAGGTGGAGCAGCTTAGAAATCCAACTGCACAAGGAATGCCTTTGACAATACTAAGTTTCTTTGTAAGCATTATGAATTAATAAATTGTCCAGTTGACAATGATAATAATCAACTGCTATCAACCTCATTTCAGCAGAGCTGGTTGATGTCCTCCTGACTCCCTAAAGCGCATTTCTGCAAGAAGCAGCAGATACACGAAGGCAGTGAAAATCTGCCCCCAAAAGCCAAAATTGTCTGAAAAGATTCACAGGGATGACCAACCAGAGAAAAGTCTGCCTCATAAATAGAATGGAAGGAAAGGATGAAGAATTGCTCCTCGAATTGTAGACTGGTTGTCTCCTGTGTTTTCTGCTGATAAGTTTACGAGTGAACCTAACAGAAACAAACACAGCAGAGAATCAGCTTATGATTGGAAGAGCAGCTAGGTTAGTGAGTGCTAGCAGTGGGCAGCAGGTGGTCTGGCAACCATTTTGCAAAGTTCAGGAGGGGAAGCAGAGGCTGGGAGCATCAATGCTTGGAGGGGGAATGGAAAGCTTCATTTTTGCCGAGGCAGTTGTCTGCCCACTAGATGCAAGATGGGGTTGGGGAGCCAAGGGTAAACTGTGGGGAGACAGGAAGGCTGTAATAGGGATAGAGGTGAAGGGCAGGACAGGGGTACTTGGGGGCTGTGGGAAATAGTGTAAGCAGTAAGGGGGTTGAGGGCGGAGAGGAGAGAAATGGCAAGAGGAATAGAGACGACCACAAAAATGCTGAGGGAGCTGCAAGACAGCTGGGGGGCATGGTATAGGCATCTCAGGGAGAGGCAGACTGTGCCACAAGGCAGCCACCAGAACACAGAAGGATACAAGTGGGCCAGGAAGCAAGCTGATACGAGTCAGGGCTGACCACAGTGGGGCTAGAGAGAGACAGGTGGGCTGCAAGGAGATGGGGTGGTGACAATTTTGCTGAAAGGGGTGAGGGAGAGAATGGGAGGTCACAAGGAGGATGAGAGAGAGTGGGACACTGCAAGGGCAAGGAGGAGTCAGGGAGGTTACAAAGAAGATAGACCATTTTCAAACTTGTTAATAAAGGAACACAACTAACTATGAGCTAAGAAAAACTTGAAGTTACTGAAGTAATTCATTACTTGCAGATGGATGTGCTATCTCTAGCTTATGGCTGCATATGTGCAGGAGCTAGTCTATGGGGAAGACTGCAGTGAATGCCGTCGCAATGAACATTGTCAATGGCTAAATTTAAATCTGAGATGTGATCTGAAATTCAGTAAAAAGGATAGCTGTGATTGTTTAAAATATCCTCACTTTGAAATATACAATGGACAAGATGTGATCTCACTAGTTTGCAGAAGATGTATTTGGGGGATGGCTTTTTGTATGCAGAAGCATCTGAAAGTTATTTTGAAAAAAGCATTTGATAACTTATGCTTGTTGTCTTGTTCCAAATTAAGTATTGTGACATCTAGAAAATTAATGATTTCATTCTGTGTTGTGGCTTTAAATTTAATAGGGCTAATATTATTTATTGAGAATATTGATGAATTCTTCTGAATCTTCCTCTGTGCAAATCCAATACCCTTGAGATCAACACAAATATAGAAGGCAAAAACAGAAATTGCTGGAAAAGTTCAGCAGATCTGGCAACACCTGTGTAGAGAAATCAGAGTTATCATTTCGGGTCAAGTGACCCTCGCTCAGAACAGTGATTTACAGAATCTGCAGTTGTTTTGGGTTTTTGTTCACACAAATATAGAAAAAAGGTAATGTTACTGTATGACTGCATCACCTAATGATGGAGTTTGTGGGAATGAAGAGAAAAAACTCCTAAAACCCTAAAAGTAACTCTGAAAATCAAGAAGTAGTCCTTGGTGTGGGGGATGCCCTGAAAGAATAATATTTTGTGCCTTGGAGCCATGCCAGATTGCACACCGTCAACTGTAATGTATCAACTGTCCTGAAAGTACAGGCTGTGATGAAGAAACCTGAAAATAAATGATCTGTTATTTGTGGAAATCACCGTACAATCTGCAGAATTCAAAATCATCAGTCTCAAAAAAAAGCAACTGTTTGAAACATCATTAAAATAAACACAAAACACAGCAGATGCTGGAAATCTGAAATTAAAAATGTGCTGGAAATCTATAATTGAAACGTTAACTTTGTTTTCTGCCCACAGATACTGCCAGACCTGCTGAGTTTTCCTAGAACTTCTGTTCTTATTTATGTTTAGAAAACACTGCCTGGTCAAATAGGAAGTCATGCAAGACCTAAAATACCTAACTTAAGGTTCCACACTGAATGGCATGTGCACAAGATAGCAAAGTTTGTAAACACTGCTTATTCCCTTGGTATTGCAGCTGACTGTATACTATTTTCCTAAGTATATAGCTCATCTCAAGAACACTGCATTTATAGTTTTTAATAATTCTAACTAGCTATCAAGGCTTGAACATTTTAAGGACTTCTACAAACTCTACGCTGACTCTTCAATTTCTTCATTTGAACATAGTTGATAGTTAAAGTAATTAATTGGTTGATCTAATGTACTTCAACAAGCCAATAAAATGAGAAAAGCGCACATTTCTTTACTCACTATTTTTACATAGGTCACATTCAATTTCAACAGAATTTGAAATGTATAACCAACTTACTTTTATGGAAAGTGCATATAGATGATTCAACATCACATGGTTTGGTTCAGGTAGTAAAGCAGGATCACACTAGATGAACAAGTTAAAAAACTGATTAATCTTACAGTCTACCAATTGCTTATATAGATTATAGAATAAAGATTAATAGTTAGTTAAACCCTGAAACAGGTTTGCAACAGCTCTCTAAAGGCTGCTTAAAAAACAACAAATAATATCATTCCAATCTGAACTATTTGTATTAACTTGCAATCCATTTGCAATAAAATTCTCCACGTCAAATCCCGATGTTGGAGTCAGAAGGTAAACAAAAACTTCAGGAAAAGTGAGACAACAGTGGAGGGAAAATAGAAAATTGCAAGAATGGATTGAAAAAGAACTGGGTTTTAACAGGCAAAGGATATATAAATAAAACAGCGAAAGAGTAGTTAAGGACTAAACTGAAACTTTGGAGGAAAACACTGACTTATCTTCAAATTAAAAACATCTAGACTTGCAGGAAGTCTGAAAACAGTGCAATATATTTCATAAATACAAAAGACTTTAACACTGACAAATCCACTGGACTAGGCGATGTTTATGTGAAGAAAATGGACAAGAGTGGAAAAGAAATTTTTGAATTCTCATGAAAGATCTTTCCGTCACTGGAGGTAATACACATAAAAATGAGCGACTGATATGGTCTAAGCAGAAACAGTAGCGCTGAACCAGGTAAAATAATAATTTTAAGTAACAGATAACTACTTATTGGATTATCAAAATTATTTTAATAGTCAACAATGATTTAAAAAGGGAAAGATTCATGGTGAGAAGCCTTATAAATTTATGGAATATCTTTGATAATTTCCCACACAGAACATTTAGCAAAACTACAAATCATGGAAAATCTGAAGAGAATGTGAGATAGAATTTATTTTTAAAATTGAGAAACGGTCCATACTGGTGAGAGGTGTTGTTTATACTGAGCTGTTGCTGTCAAGTGCAGAATTGTGAACTTCAGTATTTGGACTCCTGTAGTTTCTTAGCTACGAAAATTGCAAAATATAACTATAAGCTTATCAAAGATCCAGAGGACAGGAAAACAGAAGAAGCAAAAAGGACAAATGACACAGTAAACAGATTGTAGAAGGACTTAGTTCAGTTATTCAATTGATCAGATGACTGAAATTTAATATTAATATTACAGGTTATAGAAAAATGGAGCAATATAAGTACTGGAAAGAACTGGAATTTACATAGTACTACTCACAACTTCAGGCTGTCAGAATTGTTTATAATTAATTAAGTACTTCTTAATTATAGTTACTCTTACAATCTTGTGAAACACAGATCCAATTTCTGCACAGAGGTCCCAAAGAGAACACTTAGATAAATGAATAGATAATCTTTTTTTTAATATTATAACGTACCTTTGATGATTCACTGATAGAATTTAAGGTTGGAGTTTATTTCTGGAAAAAACAAAATGTGTTCTTTCTTCCACATAAGCACTTGACAAATGCATTTAAAAACAGTTTGCGTTCCTGCCTCAGTCTTGTATGTACTATTAGAGGGTTCTGAAGATTTAAAATTATATATAAATTGTAAGCAGTTGGAATAACGTAGGGACCAAATGAGAAGATGAAATGACAGATTTGTTTATGGCTACACCAGCAAATTAATCATTTTAATGAACTTACTGAAATGTGTGTGTCCTTGTTGAGAATGACCTGGAGCAGATGGGGAGGTAAAATGGGAGGTGCCTTAAAACGTTCTTCAGGCTTCAACACATATATATCCTGATGGTATGGACCTGGAGGGGAGCTTGACAAATCTAAAACAAATGGAATATTACATCAGTAGAACAGTGTATACAAATTATTGAAAAAAAAAGCTTTGTCTTCTCTTAGAATATAGTGTGGCATCACTGAATATGGCCTATCCAGTTGAAGACAATTAGTTATAGCAGCAGGCTTTTCAGTACATTGAGTCTGCTCAATCATTCCTCATCATGTCAGTTCTGATGGTGGCCTTAACGCCACTTTCTTTCAGGATCTCCATAACCCTCAAATCCTTTATCAATCAAAGAAAAATTTGTCTGACTCAGCTTTGAATTTATTTACTCATTGATGTCTGTGGAAAGGAACTCCAAACACTACTGATCTTCTACAAACTTCCTGCTCATCTGCCTTAAATCAGAGACTCCCTCATATTTTAAACTGCACCTAGTTCTAGCTTCCACCAGAAGGCGAAACCTCCTTTTGGCATCTCCCAAAACTGTTCACAGTAATCCAGTACAGTTCAACCAATGCCTTGGACAGTTCTAGCAATACTTCCCTACTTTCATGTTTCATCCTCCTGGCAATTAAAAATCAACATTCCATTTGCATTCCGAATTACTCCTGTCATTTTTGATTCATGTTCAAGGATACTGAGACTCCCTCTTACTGTAGCATTCTGCAGCTTCATTCTGTTTAATGTTTTTTTTTCATTTTTCTTGCCAAAGTGGACAACCTCACATTTTCCCACATTATACTTCATTTACCAAAATGTTGCTCACTCACTCAACCTCCTGATATACCTTGGCAGACTCTTCCTTCAGAAGTTCTTCAGAATTTCCGAGTTCAATTTATATCATAAGTAAATTTGGCTATTATACAGTCTGTCCCTTCATCCAAGTCTTAATATAGATCATTAATATAAATTATAACTACAGGTACAATAACAAATTTAGCAACCTTGGGATCAAGGCGGTGTAGAAATTTGGATATTTTCAGTCACGTGTTCTGATCATTGGTAACTCGGGTTAAGCCAGGCCATATGAGTTCAAGGCTCACTTGGAGCATTCAACAGACTGTGAAGCCAGAACTAGTCTGGAGACAATGCAGTAGCTAGCCAAATTTTTCAGGTAATTTTACTTTCAAAAATAATTTATTCAGTTAAAATTGATGCCAACAAGTGGTGAGTTTTCAGACAATCTCCATTTGGACAGCTAGATTTTAGACACTACCCACTGTTGTGGATTGGACACTATTCCCAGTGGCAATCACTAATTAGTTTGCCAACCTGAGAATATCCATTTATTTTGATTCTGATTGCTGTTAGTCAGCCAGTCCTCTAAGTGTTAATGTCTCAATCCTAACACAGTAACCATTATGTGGCATCTTATCAAATACTTGTTTGGAGATCCAATTATGTTACATTTACTGGTTTCCCTTTATTCACTTTCTTGTTACAATCTCAACAAACAAAAAAACTGTCAAACAAAATTTCCTTTTCACAAAACCATAATGACATTATTGTATTGTAATTTTTTACATGTCCTATTACCACCTCTTTAATTATGGATTCTTTTATTTTTCCAATAAAGGATGTTAAACTAATTTGTCTATAGTTTCTAGGTTTTTGTCTCTCTCCTTTCTTGAATAGTGGTGTTACATTTGCAACTGTACAAGGCACTGGTGAGACCACATCTGAAGTATTGTGAGCAGTTTTGGTTCTCTTATTTCAGTAAGGATATTATTTCATTGGAGGCAGTTCAGAGAAGGTTCACTAGGACGATTCCGGGTATGGAGGGACTGTCATACATACAAAGGTTAAACAGGTTGGGGCACTTCTCATTGGAATTTTGAAATATGCAAGGTCATCTCATTGAAAAATAGAGGATTCTTAAGGAGCTTGACAGGCTAAATGCTGAGAGGATGTATCCCCTCATTGGAGAGTCTAAGACCAGAGGACATAGTCTGAGGATAAAGGGATGTTAATTTAAGACTGAGGATGAGGTAGAATTTCTTCTTTCAGAGGGTTCTGAGTCTTTTGCACTCCTTGCCACAAAAAGCTGTAGTGGCAGAATCCTTGTGTATATTTAAGGCTGAGATAAATAGATTTTTAACACCATAAGAAATAAGATCAGGATAGCCTTTAGGCCCTTTGCACCTGTAGGCCCTTTGCACCTGCTCCGCCAATCAACAGCATCATGGTTGATCCAAAATTCATCACATTCACTTTCCTGCCCTTTCCCTCTAATCCTCGATTCCCCTACTGATCAAGAATCTTTCTCAGTCTTAAATATACACAGACTCTGCCCCCACAGCTCTTGTGGCAAGGGGATCTAAAGACTCTCAACCCTCAGAGAAGAAACTCCTCGACATCTCAGTCTCAAATTTGAACTCCTTTATTCTGAGACTGCCTTCTGGTCTGAGACTGCCTTCTGGTCTTAGACTCTTCCATGAAAGGAAATATCTTCTCGACATCTACCCTGTTAAGCTCCTTAAGAATCTATATGTTTCAACGAGATCACCATTTCTAAACTCCAACGAGTAGAGTCCCAGGCTGTTTAGCCTTTGCTCAATAGACAATTCCTCTACACCAGGGATCAGCCTAGTGAACCTTCTCTGAACTGCCTCCAACGAAATTATACCTTTCCTTAAATAAGGGGATCAAAACTGCTCACAATACTCCAGATGTGCTCTCACCAGCATCTCATACAGTTGCAGTAAGACTTCCGTACTCTTATACTCTTACCCACCTGAAATAAGGGCCAATATTCCATTAGCCTTCCCGATTACCAGCTGCACCTATGTGTTGGCTTTGTGTTTCAGGTATAAGTACCCACAAGTCCCTTTGTATTGCAGCTTTCTACAGTTTTTCCCCATTTAAATAATATTCTATTCTTTTGTTCTCCCTTACAAAATATAAAAAATCGTCACATTTTCCCACATTATACTCTATTTGCCATTTTTTGCCCACTTACTTAACCTATTAATATCTCTCTGTAAATTGTTTGCATTCCTCCCATAACCTGCCTTTCCACCTATTATTGTGTCATTTGCACTTTCTTCCTCTAAGCCATTAATGTTTGTGTGTGTGTGTATAAAAGTATAGAGAATCAAAGGTTATGGGAAAAGGGCAGGAAAATGGAAATGAGGAATATTGAATCAGCCGTGATCCTGTTGAATGACACAGCAGGCTCAAGGAGTTGAACAGTCTACTCCTGTTCTTATTTTTTATGGTCTTGAACCTTTCTAAAATGTAGAGAACTTTGAAAAGATGCAACCAATTCACTCACTATTTCTTCAGCTACTCATTTCTGACCCTCAGATGCAGAACATCAGTTCTGGGGACGTTGTCAGCCTTTAGTCTCATTAATTTCCCTACTACTAGCATAAATTCAATGTTAGAACAACCTTTTTATTTCCTCTCAGAGGGTCGAGTGTCTTTGGAATTCTTTTCTTTAATGGAGACAGAATTTTTAAAGATATTTAAGATAGATGTAGATAGATTCTTGATCAGCAAAGAGATGAAAGGTTTTTGGCAATAGGCAGGAATGTGGAGTTGAGGTTGAAATCAGATCAGCCAGGTGGAACACAGTCGACGGCCAAGTGGCCTTCTCCTGCTCTTAATTAATATAGGTTGTATTTTTCTTTTTGTGATCATAATTACTTCAAGTTCCTCCTTTTTGCATTTTTTTCACCTATTTTGGGATGCCTTCTGTATTTTGTACTGTGAAAGCAGATACAATCCAAATCTGCCTTTACTGATTCTCCAGACTCGCCCGAAAAGAGACTAACACTTATTCGAAATGGTCTTTGCCTTCTTATATATTTCTGGAAACTTTTACTATCTGTTTATATTACTTGTTGGTTTATTTCAATTTCTCCTTTTTCTTAAGTTAACATTTACTTATTTTCAAAAATTCCCACTCGTGTGGACAACCACTAACCTTTGCAGTATCTTACACCTTTTCATTCGAATTGACTGAAATTCCACGGATTAGCCACGGATCGGGCAACTTTCCTGTACATTTTTATGTTCACAATGGAGCATGACTCAGAAAAGATGTGAAGTATCTCCTTAATTTTTTTCCAATGGTTCTGTACCATCTTGTAACATATTTTCCATTCTAACCTCTTTATAGGTTTGTAATTGCCTGTATTTAGGTTTACGATATGAGTTTGAGATCAAAATTTCCCATTATCAATCAATGTGAAATTCCAGCAGGTTATGATCACTTCTTAAAGGATTCTTTACTATTCTCCTTTCCTAACAGCATTGTAAATGTACCTGCACGAGACTGACTGCAGTGGCTTGAAAACATGGCTCACCACTACATTTTCAAAGTCTTTTAGGGATGGGCAATAAAAGCTAGCCTTGTCAATGATAACAACATCCCAGGTAAGTATAAAAAGAATGCAATTATTTAATAATTCTGCCTAATTAGATATTACCAAGTCAAAAATAGCCTGTTCCCAGATTGGTTTCAATATGATTAGCTTCAAAACACTCTTGAAGATACCTTAAGAACTCATCCACTCAGCAAATTTTGCCACTTTGATTCATCCAATCTAAGTTTAAAATTTCAAACAAATATTACAGTACCTTTCTTACAAACTTCCATCATTTTTGATTTATACGTATAGTTGTTATGTGGCATATAAACCACTCCCACTATGACTTCTTTCCTTTGCTGCTCCTTATCTCTATCCAGCTGAGTCTTCACTTCAATTCTTCAAAGCAAGATCATTTCTCATTACTGTAGTGACCTTAAGCTTTGTTATCAGAGCCAGCCCACCCTCCTTTTCCTTTCTTCCTGCCCTAAAATGTGAAATGTCCTTGAATTATCAGCTCCTAGCCACTATCACTTTGCAAACATTTCTTTATAATAACTATCATGTCATACACTAAGACTACAAGACATAGGAGCAGAAGTAGGCCTTTCAGCCCATTAAATGTATTCTACTATTCCATGAGACCATGACTGAAAATCCTCTACTCTACTTTCCTGCATTTTCCCCATAACTCTGGATTCCCTTAATGATTAAAAACCTGCCTATCGCAGCCGTGGATATACTTATTGACCCAGACTCAACAACCCTCTGCGGTGAACAAATCCACAGATTCACTACCCTCCGAGAAAAGAAATTCCTCCTCATCTCTATCTTAAATGTGTGATCCCTTGTTCTGAGATAAGGCCCTCTGATCCTAGACATTCCCACAAGGGGATATATCCTTTCCACATCTACCTGTTAATTCTCCTACGAATTTCATTTGTTTCAAGAAGGTCACCTCTCATTCTAAATTTCCACGATTACAGACCCAACCTACTCAATCTATCCTCATAAGATAGTCTGTCCACACCTGGTAACAGCCTGGTGAGCTTTCTCTGGACCGCCTCCAGTGCCTTTCCTCTTGTAAGCAGCTCAAAACTATTCACAATATTCCAGCTGTCTAGCTAGTGCCGTGTATGTTTTTAGCAAATCCTCCCTAACTTTTATATTCCATTCCCTTTGAAATAAAGGCCAACATCCCATTTGTCTTCCTGTTAGCAGATGAAGTTAAATGCTAGCTTTTTGTGATTCATGGATCAGGACTCCCAAAACCCTCTGTTCCATAGCTTTCTGCAACCTTTTGCCATTTAAATAATATACCTACTGCCACAATGCATAACCTCACATTGTCCTATATTATATTCACTCTAGCCATTTATTTTTATTTGTTTTCATTTTATCATTCTTTATTATGAATTCACATAGCATTCATAAGAAGAACCTTTCATTCTGTACCCTGAACTTATTTCCCTATGCCTTCTTATGTTTGCACACACTATCCCTTCCTGTTACTCTGATTTCCCTTTTCACATTGCTAGCCTGAAAATTTGACTTGGCCTTTCGCTTTAACTTTCTAAATCCTCTCTCAAATGGATCCTACCTCCAGTCTATTACTTAGTTTAAAGCCCTCTCTAACAGCTCTAGTTATATGTGACAACACATTGGTCCTGCTGCAGTTCAGGTGTAGGCTGTCCCAATGGTACAGCCTTCTTTATCCCCAGTCCTAGTGCTGATACTTCACGAATCAAAACATGTTCTTCTCACGCCATCTTCAGGTTGTGCATTAATCTCTAATCTCTTCTGGTGACTCAAGTAACAATTCAGACATTATTCCCTTTGTTGTTGTGCTTTCTAATTTAGCTGCTAGCTATTCATACTCCTTCTGCAGAACCACCTTCCTAGTCCTATCTATGTTAATGGTATCCACATGGAGTACATGGATAATTGGATATTTCCACTCTTAATCAAAAGTCCTTTCCAGCTTGGGAGTTTTCAGGACTCTCCACCTTGGTCATACAGAATAGTATGGTATTCTCCTCTGTGACAACCTCATTAGTTTTTACTTCTCTGACTTGAGTAGCTCTGTGCAGCATGGTGCTGTGGTCAATTTATATATCCTCTCTGCAGTTCATATTCTCAGCTCTAAACCTCAAACCTGTTGGAACTATTGCAAGGGCTGATTCTCCACTATTGCTATCTTCTATAATTGCCTACTGTAGTCACAATCTCCTGCCAATAAACCAAAACAGATGTAACTAGCTTGATGTATGACTACCTTCTGGAATAAACTGCCCCGTTAACCTGTACCTTCCCTGCTGCATCATCGTACTTGCATTTTGGAATCCAGCTAATAAGCTGGAAGCTGCAGTTCCTCAAGCTGCAGACACAGTTACTGTGGATCACATTCGTGTTCACCAGTTCCAACATGTTACATCCATAACAAGTCATCTGCCCTGCCATATTGATGTTAGATTTAATTAAGCTTTCAAGTTGAGAAATATCATTTCTGGTCATCTGAAGTTATAAAAATGGTTTAACTGGTTAAACTATGAATTTAATGTAATACTTACATCTCTCCATTACTGGTGTCAATCTGTTTTTAAACTACAAATCGTAAGTTGAATTCAGTCACTGAAACTCTTCTCAGCTGCTCCTTTCCCACACATTTAAATGGAGTTACAGAATGTTTCTAATTCAGTGCTTGGAAACTGTCACAAAATGGTTATTTTGTATTGCTTAAGTATAAGCTCTCTTCCTGAGTGCAATAATTCTGGTGAATAACAGATTCACAATTGCTGGGTGCCCCCAAGACATTTAGCCAAATGTCAAAAAAAAAAGCACCTTCCAAACTCACAAACACTTCCATCTAGAAGGACAAGGGCAGCAGATACATGAAATTTCCTCTACAAGACATTCACCATTCTGACTTGGAAATATATTGCCGTTCCTTCACTGTCACTGGGTCAAAATCCTGGAATTCCCTCCTTGACAAAATTGTGAGTCTACCTACGGAACATGGACTGCAGCAATTTAAGAAAGCAGCTCACCACCACCTTCCAAGGGCAACTATGGAAAAGGCAATAAATGCTCGTCCAGCCAGCGATGCTCACATTCCATAAGTGAATAAAAAAACACAATTTTCACTTATGAATCAAAACAAGACACACTGATTGGCTATTTAACAATGGGTTGATTAGAGGTAAGTCCAAAGCAGCTTTAAACCAACATCCACAAGGAGTCGTCACTACAGAGGATTCCTGCTTTTCTTTCCCTCTACCCTACTCCACATGTACAAAGGTCAATTCCAGCAATCTGGTTTCTGTCCAAGCAGAGACTAGATAACTCAGCACAGACCAGAAATCAAACTTGGGGCATTCTTCAATGTTAGGGTTAGAATTACATCATGTTGCAGGTTGACCACTTAGAAGAACTCAAAATAGAGCATCCCACCTAGACCTATCTCACTATCCTTTCCCTGTAACCCTGCATTTCCCATGGTTAATCCACCTAACTTACACACCCCTGGGCACTATTGGCAATTTAGCATGGCCAATCCACATAACCTGCACATCTTTGTACTGTGGAGGAAACCGGAGCACCCAGAGTCACTGAAAGGAAGATCAGTATTCTAAACTGCATTATTTATGGTTTTTCTTTAGTCTTATTCTAAACTGTTTCGGGCCCAAAATTCACATTGGTAATATTTGTGGCCGGTCTCCAAACAGTCACTACCATTTTTTTGGACTTCACACAGGCTCGTCAAACAAGTATGTTGCCTGGACATTCGCTGCATATATTACCTCTTAGTTCGTACAGAGTGCCTCAGTACCAGATTAGATAGCTTTCACTATACCATTTTACAAGTCGAATCAACATCAAAATTACAGAATACTTTCATGCACATGAAGAGTCTTCAATTTTGACTTTCCTTCCAAATACTCTACTAACAGAAATGCAAAAATCATAAATTATCTAAAATTTCACACTTATCGTGACACAATCAAAATGTTTAGTTGGTGTGCATTACAACAAAGATACCACTTTTCATTGCAAATAAGCACACAAATTGTAAAAAAAATTATTAATACTACCTTCATCAATTTAACGAATAGCAGATAAGTTCACTTCAATGTTCTAGCCAACACTTACCTCTCAGTCAATACCCAAAATAGATCATCTAGCCACTGACCACTGCATTTCCAATATTACAATAAAGATTACACTTCAAAAATACTTCAATGGATGAAATGCGTTTGGGACAATCCCAGGTCATAAAAGAGATCATATAAATTCAAGTATTTTCCTATACGAGAAGCTGATGAATAATAATCTATTAAATATATACCATCAATTTCATCCACTTGCCGCCAGACATACATGCTTTTCCACTGTATGATCTTTTTCTTTAAAAAAAGTCTTTAATCAACTACCAGTTTTATTTTGACCGATTGGGCCCTCTACAGCTATACACTCCTCACCTGAAGTATCTGAACACTCTAGTGAGTCCAGTTTAAGGGCATCAAATACTTCAAAGTCAGATTTCTTCACTTGAATGACGTTATTGATTGTCCCGAGCTGACTGGTTGTTACTGGCTGAAAAGAAAGAGAAAGACAATTCTAGATTCCTTTACAGTTCGTTTTAGCGTGCCGTGGTCTCACAATACCAGAATTTGCCCTTATTAGCAATTTTTATGGAAAATTATTTTTATGCCAAATGTAACTTCCATATTTCACCAAAAAAAAGGTCCTTAAAAATAGTCATACAATTCCCAACACAGGTTGAGACATTTGGCCTTTCATGTCAGTAGTATCAATCCCCATACACTTTCACATTTTTCATTTTGAAACATTTAACAATTTATTTTTAAAACAACTTCACACAGGCTCGTCAAACAAGTATCTCTATCTCAATTGTTACTTGAATTAAAATAGTTATTAGAACATGGAATATTTTAAATATTTTCTTCTCATATTAATCAAACGTGCCACTTTTGCAAATTCATCACTGAATAGAAACAATATGTCAGTTTACCATCTCAAAATACTTATTAGAACTCCCAATTTTGTACTTTTTTTAAAAAAAAAACCATCATTAAACCCTTCTGACTAGTTATAACTTCTCATTCCTGATAATCTTATAAATCTAATGAATTGTGACTGCATTTTCCATGGATGCAATACCTCTCATAACGGAGTGTCCAAAACAACATGCAATACTTCAATTGTGACCCTTTCATTGTCATGTACATTCAATGTCCTTACAACGGAGAAGCAAAATGCCTGTGCTCTGGCCATGAAAGGTGTACATACCACCCAGCCTTAGATCCAGTCTTAAGGAGTTTTATAACTTGGTCTATATTTGGTGCAAATGGTATCACATTTCTTTGCACTGAGCTGAATGGGTATATCGACCAGTTTGCTGTACTGTCAACGTCCTGTTATAACAGCCTGCATTGTTTCTCATAGTTACTACGTGGCCGAGTTTGATATCATCAGCAAACATTGATACGACTCCTCGATGCGACTTCCAAATCACAAATACAAGTCCTCCTTTTTTAATCTTTATTTTATGACCACTGGAAACCTGAGACTGCTTTAAAGCCAACAAAATACTTTGGAACAGTGACTATGCTTCAAAAGTAGGAGATATGGTGGCTAGTAAGCACCCAGCAAACTCTTACAAACAATCTCCGACAGTAATAATACTCAGAGAATTTTTTTTTATTGTTTTAGGGATACATATTGGTTAAAATTCAAAACAGCACAATGGGATCTTTTACAACCACCCAAGTAAGCAGATGAGCCAGTTTAGTGTCTCAACTGAAATTAGAATGGCTGTGATTTTGGCTGTACCCAAGTACAAGTCCTGAAGTGGGAGCTGATCCCAAAACCTTATGACTCAGGAGGGCAGAATACTACCAAATCACTACACCTGATGTTTATACAAATGAAAAGCACCTCAAAACATAACAGAAAAGTAGTTAGAAACATGAAGAGAGCTGAATAAGCTTTTCCCAGGTGATCAGCATGTGAGATGGGTTGAAATGGAAAGAAAATTTTGGATAGCATTAGAAAAATAAATTCAGGGTAAGGTGTGAATGAATACTTCTCTGATATTAATTCACAACTCATTCATCTGAAATTAGGCATTAGTCTTGAAGCTCTTCACCGCATCACTTTCAGAGCTTGAATGTCTCTAAAATGCCCAAGAAATGACAACAGTATTTACACACATCTGATCAATGGGAAAAATGGTGGAAGGTGAGATGGTTCAAGTAAGAAAATAATTAAGGAATACAGGGCTGAATTAAGATGAGTCTTAGAAATAGGTACACATTGGGACCAAGAATATATAACATTTAATTAACCAAATTAGAACTGGGCAAAATCAACTGGAAACTTAACTGGAATTTCTCAATTCAGATTGTGAAACAGAAATGTTCAGCTTCCCTCTTTAATGTATGAGTGCAGTCATTAGAAAAAACAAAAGCGAAAAAAAACTACAAAAATAATTATCCAGAGCCTTGTCCATTCCTCCTTCCCTCCCAACAAATAAGGGCGAAAAACATATTAAAAGACTTCAAGAATCTTGTAGGCTCAGCTTATACCAGGACAATGTTGAAAGAGACCAAGAGCATTTAATTTTGTCAAGCTTTGTAAATTTTAGGTGGCACACACTAAACACTGCTGGATCACGTACTAATAAATGTCGCTAAGTTTCGAGGGAACACTTAGCTAAAAGTAATTATGATATTATAAGGCACAGTTAGTAATTAAGAGCAATTTTAAAAAAAATCAAAATAGGAAGAGAGCTAACTTCATTGGGCTAAGAGGAAATCTAGCCAGGATAAAATGAAACCAAGCTGTAGATGAACAACAGATGATATTTAAGGATGAAATTTTACAGATACAGGCCGGTTACATTCCAACAACAGCGAAATATCGGGGAAGCAAAGGTGGAGCTCCTTGGATGATGAGGGAGAGAGAAAACATTGTGAATCAAAAAAAAAAGACTTATTGATACATGCAAGGTGAATGCTTCAAACAAGAACAGGCCAAACAGAGCATGTTCAGGGGAAGTGAAGAGAGGAAAAAAGACTGGCGAAGACAGAATATGAGAACAGAAAAGTAATCAACATAAAGAGAAACCCAAACATCCGCCACTGAAATTTTTAATAATGAATTGGTAGAATGAAGTAAAGTAGGTCCTATTAGGTGCAAGAGTGATATGTTAACAAGTGGAGGGCAAGGCATCAGTGTCTCATCAGGAAGAAGATGCTGAGGAAATATGAGTCTGAACTCGAGAAAGTAAGAGCAGGTTAGAGGCTAGGAATTTTGTGGCAAGTAACTCAGCTCATGACTCCTCACGTCTGGCCACCGGCTACTGTGCTTAAGTCAGAAATGTGATGAAATACTCTATATTTGCTTGAATGAGTGAATCCCCGACAACACTCAAGAAGTTTGACACCATTCAGGACAAAGCATCCCATTCAGCGCCTTAAGCATTCACTCATTCCATCACTGATGGATAACAGCAGCACCGTGTACAATAGACAGATTGTAATGTACTGTGAAAGTGCTTTATGTTTAACATTGCTTGGAGTTCTGAAGGACTGTGTAAAAAGGCATTTATCACTGCTTGTATGGACATACCTGCACAGCAGCCATTTAAACTTCACTGTGGACATTATTTTTTTTAAAACAATGTTTCCTGGCAATCACACATCTGGTGATTACTGTTTGCTTTGTTTTAAACCCTTCTGGGACAGTTTTTAAATAGTGACCAGCTTGGCAAGGTTCTTGTTTTATTTGGTTGAACTAGAGGGAAGCCTGGAAATAAAAATCAACTGAGTTGGAAGAAACTATACTATATAAAAGCTGCTGAGCTGTTCTCTCCTATTTCTAGGAAGAAAACACTCTACATCAGTTCATTGTTGGCTTGAAAGTGAATAAATGAATATCTCAAGATGGTATTTCCTGAGCAAGCTATGTCTTCCTGTCTTCAGAGACAACAATCTTTGACTATATGACCACATGTCAGAATATCAAAGTAACCAACTCCAGCACATCCTACAACATGTCCCTTTGCCTTCAAGAATAACCCATTGACCAAACAGCTATTTTCAGATGGCTAATCTTTGCACAGAAAGAGTTTATTTACCCCCTTTTCCTGAACAGTCTGTGTGCTTTGCAGATATTTAGAGGGATAGCCATTTACATTTTACTTATTACTATGGTAACAAGTTATTGCATTTTTATTGAGAGTTTGTTTTAATAAATAAAAAGCCTTACTTGTGTTTGTTAAGAAACCTGGTTGGCGAACCTTTTTTGTTGAATACCTGAAATAGGTAAGTTACTTAATTAGTTGCCTTGACAACATGAAAAAGTATTTTTACTTTCTGACGCCGCATCTTGGAATTGTGGGACGAGAGTGATAGTGCACTCCTCCAGGCTCAGTGGTATTGTGGAGGTTTATCTGAGATTTCTGATGAGAACAATGTTTAATTGGAAGTGGGATGCAAACATAATTGGAAAAGGATAAACAGAAATATACCAGGTTTCTTGTACATTATTATGTCAAAATGACTTTGGCGGTTACTAAGACATTTCGGCAGGTGGAAGATTTATCCCTGAATAATTTGCAAAGAATAACCAAGGTTAGGCTAACTGAATTGGCTGGAAAGTTAGGATTAGAGAAAGAAGTTGGGGTTAGGAAGGCTGACATAACTGAAATAGAAACACAACATCTGTTGGAAGAATGGACATGTAAACCAGATGGTGAGTCAATTGAGATAGTGAGAATTCAACCGCAGATGAAGCAGCTTGAAATAAGAAGAAAAAAATGATTAAAATATCAAACTGCATTGGAAATTTAGGAAAAGCTTGAATTTGAGAGAAAAAAAGAGAAACAGCACTTCAGGCAGAGAAAAAGGGAAACAGCATTTCAGGCAAGTAAAGGAAAAACAAGCTCTAAGGGTGGAAGTGATAGCAAAGGCCTAAGTGTTTACATTGTGATAAGGTGGGACACCTTCCTACTAATTGCTGGGTAAATCAATGGGCGTTATCAGGATTCACATGGTCAGTGTGGAGAAAACATCCCTGACTTAGAGTACAGCAGATCAAGTTGTAGCTCTAACTTCAGCCGTGAGAACAAGTTTAAACACTTATTGCAGGGAAACAAAACAAGGTAACTGAAAGTTACAGGGAGTCTTCTCAAAAGAAAAAATAACTACTTATTCCTTAAATGAGGCAAGTAAACCGTAGTCAACATAGAGACACAAGAACCATTAAACTCTTTTGCTGGGGAAAGACACGATTTTTCTATGAGAATGCCAAAGTTTTAGTAAATATTATTGTTAAGGAATATATACTGCTGGCCTTTATATCAGGTACACCTAGAATGTGATCTAATATTTGGAACAGTAACTGTAGGGGCTGTACATAATGTACCTGTAGATGGAACTGACTTACTCCTAGTGAATAATTTGGCAGGAGAGAAGGTTATAGTTTCTCCAATAGTAACAGAAAGGGAAGTGAAGTCAAAGAAACAGAGCAGACACAGGAAAACTTTCCAGGAATATTTCCTACATGTGTACTTCTTGAGCAATGGTTAAACAAACCCATCATTGGAGGTCAAATTGGCACCACAGACAGATATTTGATTACCTAAAACCTTTTCGGAAGATTTAGAATATCCAAAGGAAGCATTTAACAAGTCTCCTCTGATTGAGTCTCAACAAGTCGATCCAGAGATAAGTAAAGAAGCCCAATTGGCTCAAACTGAAACTGAAGGTGAGAAAGCTCTGGAATGCTACTATATGAAAAATGCAATTCTGACGAAAAAGTGGAGACCCACAGATGAAGACAGAATGGTGGTTCGTCAATTATTGGTGATTATGTTATCAAAATACTGTCAATAAATATGAAGGACAGTCCAAGAAATTCCAGTGGCCGGCTATGTTGGAACCCAAGCACATATTAAGTCAATATTTTTACTGACCTTTACAAGAGCTTGGTACAGTTGTGCAAAACGTGCCATAAATACCAAGTTGTGGGAAAACCACAACATAGAATGAAACTGGTACCTTGAATTCCCACACCAGTTTTTGAGGAAGCATTTCAATGAGATAGTGGCATGGCAATAATGTCATTGCACAAATAATCCTGAACCCAGGCTAATAGTCAGGGGACCTTGGTTCGAAATCCACTGCAGTAGATGGTAAAATTTGAATTCAATAAAACCTGGATTAAAGAACTTGTGTAATGGTGACAATGTAATCACTGTCAATTGTTGTAAAGGCCCATCTGGTTCACTGGTGTCCTTCAGGGAAGGAAATCTGCCATCTTTATCTTTTCTGGTCCACACATAACTCCAGCCCCTCACCATGGTTGATTCAAACATCTTCTGGGCAAATACAAATGGGCAATAAACGTTGGGGTAGCCAGTGATGCTCATTTCCCATGAAAAAATATAAATTTGATAGAATGGTGGTGGGGTGTATGGGACTTCGACTTAAAATAAAAGTGGGACACGTGCATACCTTTTCCTTCATGAATATGGCTACTCAATTCGTACCTTAAGAACAATCACGGATAAATGGATAAAAAGTTAACCCAGTTCTTCGCTTGATACGTACTGCTAATGGAGATCAATCAAATCAAGTCTTCAATTTCACTTCTAAAGCTATTCAGGAACTATGTTTAGTCTGGGTATAACACAGGTGAAGTCTTCACAGACGCAAGGAGCTGAAATGATGATCACACGTACTGTCAAGAGTATCCTCAGGATTTGGATAAGGATTTGAATTTCTCTTGCTTTCTATGAGGTTCACCTAACGAGTCTATTGGTTTTGGTCATTTTGAATGATCTTACAGTTATGGCTTATCTGCCTTACCTATTATACTCCTTGTAGTAAAATAAATACACATCAGACCATCAGTCTCGCTGTGTTCATCAATCTGGCGCTGCCTATTCTGCTGATAAGATTTACTTGACTTAACCTCTACCTTCTCCTCAAACATTCCATGTGCTGACCTACTGCTCTTGTTCTCAGCACCCTACCACACTAGTTTAAACCCTTTCGAGTGCCACTAGCAAACCTCCCTGCGAGGAAAGACCTCCAGTTTAGGTGTAACCTGTCCTTCTTGTACAGGTCCCTCCTGCCCTGGAAGAGATCTCAATCATCCAGGTATCTGAAGCCATCCCACCTATGCCATCTCTTTAGCCAGGCTTTCAACTTCCAATTTCTGGCCTCACTAGAACTGGGTACAAGGAGCAATTCTCAGATTACGACCTTGGAGGTCCTGCTTTTCAACTTTCTACCTAACTCCCTAAATTCCCTTTGCAGGACCTCATCTTTCTTCCTGCCTACGTCGATAGCACCGAAATGGACCACAACCTCTGGCTACTCATCCTGCCCTTTCAGAATGCCCTGTGCTCGCTTAGAGACCTTCTTGACCCTGGCACCAGGGAGGCAACATGCTAATGTGGACTCTCACTCATGGACAAAGAAACACCAATCTGTGCCCTTGACTATAGAGTCCTTCATCACTACTGTTCACCTAAACTTCAACCTTCCCTGCTGTACAACAGAGCCAAACATTATGCCACTGATCTGGCTACTCTTGTTGCTTTCCTCGAGTGGCCATTCTTCCCAACAATATCCAAAACAGTGTACTTGTTGAGAGGGGAACAGCCACAGGGGACACCTGCACTGCTTGCTCCTCCTGGAGGTCACCCATCTATCTGGCTGAACTTTTGGTGTGACCACATCCTATCTTTAAAACTTTCTACCTCCTATATGCTCCTCAGTGAGTCCAACTGGCCCTCCAACTGATCCATGCGTTCTGAGAGGAGCTGCAGGTGGACACACTTCCTGCAGACGTAGTTGGCAGGGACATTTGACTTCTCCCTGATCTCCCACATTTCTCAGGGGGAGCATTCAATCCATTAACTGCCATTACTACCTCTCTAGTAACTGGATTGAAAGAAAAGGAAAGACCTTACCTTGCCGTACCTTAACGTGGCTTGCCCTACTCAGCGAAATGCAACGCTCTCTAAAGCCCGTATGTTGACTTCAACAGCAGCACTTCGACCCCACAGCCCTTCCCGCTAGAGTCCGCATTCCTTTTATATGCTATCAGTAGGAAGCAAAAATTCTCCCAGAATCCTCCTCAGCCACTTCTCACTTTCACATTCACTAGAGTTTAGAAGAATGAGGAGGGATATCATAGAAACCTATAAAATTCTAACAGCAGACAGAGAAAATGGAGTCACAGTTTAAGGATACAGGGTAGGCCATCAATGACTGAGAGGAAGAGAAATTTCTTCACCCAGACAGCAGAAGGCCTGTAGAATTCTCTGCCACAGAAAGCAGTTGAGGCCAAAACACTGAATGTTTTCAAGAAGGAATTAAAAACTGTTCTTAGGGCTCAAGGGATCAAAGGATATGGGAAGAAAGTGGGAACAGGATACTAAGTTGGAGGATCAACCATGACCACATTGTATGGCAGAGCAGTACTGAAGGGTAAAATGGACTGCTCATGCTCCTGTTTTTCATGTTTCTATGTTCTACAATTGGATGAAGTAGAAAAGTAGGCAAGTCTAAAATACTGGTTCGGCAACACCTGGCGTATTGCATCCAGTTCTGGCCATTGCGCCATCGGAAGGATATGTGGGTTAAGAGAATGCAGAGGAGATTTTCAAAATGGTTGCAGGATTTAGTGATTTTAGCTTCAAGGTTCGATGGGAGAAGCCGGCATTCTTCTCCTTGTAGCAAAGGTGGTTGAAGGAAGATTTGATAGAGGTATACAAGATTATAGCAAGTGTAGATAAGAAAAGCTGTTTCTTTTAGCTGATTCTACACAGACTAGAGTATACAGATTTACGGTTTTGGGCAAGAAATGCAGGGGGATTGTAAGAAAGAATTTTTTACTCATTGATGGGTAATATCCTGGAACTTAAGAATGGTGGAAAAAGAGATGATAAATTATTTCAAAAGAAAGTTGGATGGACACTTGTGGGAAATTAGTTTGCAGGGCTATGGAAATATAGCAGGAGAATGGTACTGATGAAAATGCTGTACAGTGTTCCAGCACGCAATGCACAGGTCAAATTGTCCCCTCTGTGCCATTATGACTCTATTGTCTGTGAACGTTACTATTCCCAATGATCAATGGTTTTGAAAATAATAATTTTCCATTAAGGGGAAAACATTAGCAGTGGTATCACTGGAATCAACAAGAAATGCAAATGTAAAAATATTAATTATGATGCCTCTTCAAATTAAAACATCCTTAGTCTTAGATACCTGTGTAGGATCTTTACATCTTAGAGTTGGAGTTCTTCAAGTTATTTCCATACCTAAAAGAATATATTTATCTTGAAGGCAGCACACAATTGGTTCCTAGGATGAATGTTTTGAACTGTAATGACAGGTTAAGCAGACTGGGCCTTTATGCTCTGGAGTTTATAAGAATGAGAGGTGACCGAATTGAAACTTACAAGATTCTGAAGAGGTATGACATGGTAGACACAGATGTAGTTTCCCCTGACAGGGAACTTAAAAATAGGAGCACAGTCTCAGGATAAGGGGTTGATCAAATAGGCCTAAGATGAGGAGAATTTTGTTCACTAAGAGAATAGCGAATCTTTAACATTTTTTTCTCCAGAGGGTTGTAGATTCTCCATTGTAAGCATATTCAAGGTTGAGACAAACAGAATTTTGGTCTCAGGGAACATGGGGAACAGGCTGGAAAGTGGAATTGAGACAAACACTAGCGATGACTATCTTGAGTAGCCAAGTAGGATTAAAGTGTCCTATAGTAACACCTGTTCCTATTTCATATGTTTTTAGAATGAATGCAGTCTTATTCAAGCAAAAATGTCGAAACTTACCTAATTTTAAAACATTAATGAAAATTCTTTATTGATCTGATATTTTTCTTAAATTCAATAGATTTAACAGTAAATATTTCAAAGCTTTTCCTGATGATTTTCTGTGTGTTTTTTTATGAATTTAAATGATAAGGTACTAGGGCCCATTCTGGGTCAAAACTGAGTGTGCTCAGTAGTAACCAGCAGTACTAGGATTATTATTTATGGCCTAAACATCCCTAGTAAGGCAGGGAAAAATCTATTTGAGTCCCTGCTCTGATACTATACAGTGACATCATTGAAAGTGTGTGAATGTTTATGGCAAGATTAAGTCCTTGACTTTCCTCAGAGTTTAGAGAAGCAGAATCAGAAAAACAGACTAATTTATAACATACATGTAACATGAATGCTTATCACCACCTTGTTTGTCCCCCCTTACTTATTATATCGTAGCTCATAAATACAAGCTTTATAAAGTTCTGTGCTTACATTCATATTAAGTTAATGGCATACTTACCTCTGAAGGATCATGAGCCCATTGCCCATCTACAAAAAACTTGTATTGGTGTTCGCCTTCTGGTAGATCAAGAATAGCAATAAAGTCATTATGGCTGTAAAAATAAAAATATAAATACAAAGTTTACTATCCAGTAGTTCATTATAAAACCTTTTGTTTTTGGTTTTCTCCACTTCCTTAAGCTCATTATAGCATCAACATAGAAATTCTGTTCTAATTAGAGATGACAGCATTCAGTCCCTCACTATTATCATTTGTGGTGTAGAGTGGGCATTTTTCGTCATAGTTTACTTCTGGACTGTACTTTAAAGGGCAAGACGGAGCCAAAGCCCTTTATATGTTATGGATTAAACAGCTATTAATTAGACATCCTGTATTATATTAATACGATTTGTTTCTTGCAAATACATTCTTGATGGAAAATACAAAGTTCCATAGAGTGATGAACATTTCCTAAGACTAAAATTTGATCTTCATCGTCTGAGACTGAGCAAGATAGAGAAGCTAGTGCTTCTGAAACAGTGTGAGAAAGTTAGGGGGTGGCAGATTCATAAAGAGTGAGCAAAAGCAGGGACACCGGCTTCATGAAGAGCAAGAGACAGCGAAGTCAAAAGCTTCTCAAACAATGTGATAGAGCTGGTCAGCTACTCCATAAACAGAAGAGGGACCCTGTGTGAGAAGGGCAGTGATGGCAGGAAATGAAAACCAGTGGCATAGAGCCCCTTCAACTTGTTTCTTCCTGTAAGAGCCAAACTGCAACACCACAGGAAAAGAAGTAGGTGGGTGGGTAATGGTGGGCATTTCTTTTGTGCATTTCGAGTGACAATTGGTTTAAAACAGGAGAGTATTATAGCTGAAGAGATTTTTAAGAAATATACCATTAAAATATTATCCATTCAAATTAATTAATTAAAGAGAATAGAGATGTAGTACGTGAGAACTGGTGAACACCAGAGTGATCTACAGTAAGCATATCTGCATCAAATGTTGACTATTCAAAGAATTTTGGCACAGAGTTGATGAGCTGTGGACACTACCACACTTTAGTGAGAGGGAGCGATGCATGGATAATATGTTTCAGGATGCGGTCACACTCCTTTGATTAATTACATCAAATTTAACCCATGGTCAGGGACGCAAGAGTATGATTATGTGAACGCAGGTTATGGGGATTCAGAATTTAGTGTTGGAGGAGTCTCAGCCAGTTGAGGATGTTTTACTGTGTGGTCACACGTTATCAGAGGGTAGGGTAGATCATTGTACTCATTCTACCATTGTGGAAGATGTTCTGGCCTTTATGGGGTTAACCGATCATCCCCTCAAACCGATACACTTCAGTTATCCATGGGCATCTAATAATCCACAGCATTCCTAATAAGTAGGGTGAATGCAACTAAATAGGTGGAAAGCTTATGAGCACTCATCTTAATTAAGCTGTAAAGTATCATACTCTATTTTGGTAATACTTCCAAATGGACTTGTGGCTCTTTTAGATTTTGCTGTTCACAACTTTCATCCATGTTTTCTAGACTTAGACAACTGGAATATATTGTAACAGGGTGATAAACATAACCTGCAAATGGAAAATCAATTTCTCAATACTTTTGCTTCAATCTTCAAACATTTTGATGGATTAAATTAAAATGAAAAATTTACCAAAATTAAAACGAAACACAATACAGCTTTGAGATAGAAACCTTCACAGAGGCAGAAGAACCATTAAGTTTGTTCCTTCTACTATGAGATAGATTCTCAGCTAGTTGTAAACTGCATGTATTTACCTCTTAATAAGTGGAATCTTGGTATGCCAGTTGTTGAAGGATCCAGATATGAACACCTCTTTCCCTCCACCTACCCAACGAATAACAGTGGGGCGAGCTTGCTTAGGAAATTTTACAGATTCGTCTATGTCAGGTTGCCAGGACACAAATTCCTTATCAGTGAGAGGCTAAAATATCAAAATACACGTTGAGAAGGTGAAACTTGAAGGAAGTTATGTACAGAAGTAAACAGTATTAAAACTACAATCATATGGTAGCAGTAAAACTGTGGTTTCTCTTTAACTAGATAGTTAAATTAAACTGTAAGCAAACAGGGTGAACTTAGCTAGCATACAAAGGAAAAGAAAGTTTTCATTTTAAACACAGAATAGTTACAGCCAAGAAGGTAACTGTTTTGCCTGTCTATGCCAGTATACCAAAAGAGCAACTTGACTAATTCCAATTGAAGATGGCAGTGGAGTAGGGCTCTTGAGACTGGGGCTCATCCGCTTTCTTTTTCTTTCGTTTCTTCTTTTCCTCTTGTTGTTTTTCTTCTTTTCCCTTATCTCTTGCAAAAAGCTCAGTCAAGGCAACGGCATGGGCGGAGGGTTTGGGTTCCTGGCAGCTCCTGCATTGACCAGGTGAGCCCAATACCGACTCATGGCTGCTGCAAAGTTTGGTTCCCTGCAGCATCTGCATCCAGCACAGATTCATGGAGTTGGCAGCAAAGGCGAGTTTGGGCCCAATACGAGACCCAGTGGCATCAGTGGTGGCTACATTGGTGAGATGGGCTCGGAGTGAACTCTTGTCAGGTTGTGTTTGGGCTGATGTGGGACAGGTGGCAATGGTGGAGGTGAGATGGCGCCGAAGAGTGGCGACTCTTGTTCTGGCAGCACGGCGAGGGGATTCATGGGCTGATCCAGGCCCATGACTGAGCACTTAATAAGAAGGGCTTTAAAGTTGAACTTTATTTCTTTATTTTTCCTGGTTTATATTCTATGTTTTGGTTTATTTCTCTGTATTTTAAGATGGCACTGGAGAGTGGCAACACTATACAACACTTTTCACTGTTGTTTGTATACATTACAATAAATAAATCAAATAAATCAATTCATCCACTTTTTCAACATAGCCCTGCAAATCTTTTCTCTTCAGATAGTTCTCTAACTCGCTTTCAAACACCATGATTCGATGTGCCTCAACAACATTCTAAGGCAGTGCCTTCCAGCTCCTAACCACTCAGTGTAAAAATAGATTTCTCCTCAAATTAGCTTCAGTTATAATGTCAATCACCTTGTATTAGTAATGTCTGATTCTCAATTCATCTGCCAATTGGGCTATTTCTCTCTACCTGTGTAGATGCATCCATAATTTTAAGTACCTTTATCAACTCTCATCTCAACTTTTCCTCCAAAGAGAACAGTCCTAACTTCACCAGTATATCCATGTTCACACTGTATCTCCCTTAGCCAACACACTGCTCCAGCAACCAGAGAACATTTGGTTTAAATGCCTCCACCTCATTCTCTACAGTGCAATAGCGAAGTTCATTTTTAAAGTTAGCACTTAGTATCAAGCAGTTTGCTGCTAGTTAACAGACTATATTTCCTAATTAGTGATAACAAGGTGTAGAGCTGGATGAACACAGTAGGCCAAGCAGCATCAGAGGAGCAGGAAGGCTGACGTTTCGGGACTAGACCCTTCGGGTGCCCTCCACCTGTCACTCACAGAACTCCACCAGAAGCTCATGGAATTCTGAAGCGCCTCCTTTAAATTGTCTTTTCTCAGCTTCAACACTTTATCCTGCTCTGGAATATTGTCGCCCAAGGTTACCAGAGAGAGTAGGCAACAGGCCATATCCTAGGCTTCGATCTCAGTGGGAGGCAATGGCACAGGCCAGGAGCCCAAGTCTCTGTGTGTTGCAGCTTTTTGCAGTTCTTTCTCCATTTAAATAATAATCTGCTTTATTGTTCTCCCTTCCAAAATGAACAACTTCACATTTTCCTATGACCCCTCATTATTGACCTTTCAACTTAAGATGAACAACTACTTTCTGTTCACACTGTCCATGCACCTTATACACATCAACCCAGTATATATCAATCAGGTCCTCTCAGCCTTCTCTGCTCTAAAGAAAAACAATCCAAGTTTATCCAGCCTCTCTTCAAACTGTTCCATTCCAGGTAATGTCTTGGTGAATCTCCTCTGCACTCCCTCCAGTGCAGTCACATCCTTCCTACAGTTCAGTAACCAGAATGGCACACAGTACTCCAACTGCAACCAACCCAAAGTGTTGTACAGCTCCAAGATAATCTCTCTGCCCTCATAATCTATGCCATGACTGATTCACACTAAAACTTGGGGCAGCTGCTACCAAGGCGCAGGGGCAAAGAAAACCATTTGAGGACTTCCTGCTGAAGTTAAGTGGGGGTCTGCTCAGTTATCGGATCCTCCTAGTGCCTCAATGCATGTAAATATTGTCTTGTACGTGTAAGAGATGTTTTTGGTTTGCTTGAATAGAGTCAAACTCCAATGTTGGTTTGTTTCCTTGATATGCTACTGGATAAAGACAAATAAAATAAACTATGAGTAACTTATTCCATTTTACAATTCCATGAGCGTTTATAGCACATCATCCAGGCAGCTACTCTTCATATCTGACAAATTGTTTGAACATGGGCACCACTGAGCCAAGCGATTTCATCCATTAGATGTCTAAGTTACATTCAGCAAGATCAATGGGTTACGAACTAGTATAAAAGCCAGAGTTGTTTTTTTAACTCACTAGAAAAAGAACATAAATATCAATTGTGGCCAATCCAACAGGGCCATGGTGGAAACTAATTAATTTAGTACAGGCCATGGCTTGAACTGGGCACTTTCTTGGTCTACAAGTCTCAGTGTAAAATCACACTGGACATTGTTTCAAAATAATATTTAACTTCTTTACTGCAAACATTGACTAAAAATCAGTACTCTACATAAAAAGTCCATTGTACTATGCATGAGTTCAAGTAGACATAATGAGATCCTTGGAACTTTTCAAAGGGCAGGAAGCAAGAGATGCACTTTTGAAAAATAATCACTACAGCTGCAAACTCACAACAAGGTTATAAACTGGAAGATTCCATAAAGAGTAATAATAATGTGTTGGAATGAAAGACACTAGGCATCCAGAGAACTCCTTGCCCTTAGAAAAGATTAGACCAATTAGACCCATTAAGGCCACCTGAAAGGGGCAATTGTGGTCTCAGTTTAACATCTCACCCAAAAGATGGCACTTCCAACAGTACTGCATTAAAATGTCGGGTTAGATTATATGCTCAAGTCTTTGAAATGGGGCTTGAACCAATAATCTTTTTAAACAGGGTAGACTCTCAGAGACAAGGCTTTCAACTTGATGTCTCTAAGGGTAATTTTGCTATCTGTGCATACAAATATATATTTTATACATATTATAAAAGGCATCCTTTATAGTACAAGTCACCACTTTCAACAAATTAGTTTACAATCTTTTTCTCTTAAATGAAGGAGATTGTATGCCCATTAGGCTAGAAACAATTAGTGCAGTTTCGTATTGTACCTTTGAGTCTTGTGTATGAAAAATATTGGGGTCATCTGTGCTGTCCACCATGATTTTAGGACGTTCATTTTCTTTTGATGATGGAGAAGATCCCATGCTATCACTGCGGTGGGATTTAGATCCTCCATGGCGATCTGCTCCCATACGGTCACTGCTGGTGTTCCCCATTGTTCTGACAGTACTGGTGCTATTACTATGGTCAAAATTTCAAAGACAGTATAGATCCCCAAACACTGTGTGGGTATCTGAAATAAAAAAGTGATTTTGTTTTATGGTACTAAAAAAATACTTTTACCGCACAACAGAGAAAAATACCAAAGACTGGATAACGTTTAGAGCGGGGTTGATGAGTGGCAAGAAACATTCGCATCACATATCAAAACATCTTCCTTTGACGTCACCGCAGCTGAATCCCCCATTACTAACACTCTCAGGTTACCATTGACCATAGACTTAACTGGACCAGCCATATAATTACCGTGGCTACAAAAGTAGGTCACAAGCAGGGGATTGTGCAGGCAGTAACATGCCTCTTGACCTCCCAAAGCCTACCCACCATCTACAAGACATAAGTCAGGAGTGTAATGGAATATTTTCCATTTGCAAGAAGCTTGACATCATTCAAGACAAAGTAGCCTGCTCGACCAGCATCCCAAGCACTGACTTAAACAATTCACTCCCTCCACAACCAGTGCATAATGGTCACAGTGTGCACCAATTAAAAGATATACTGCAGCAAGATGCCAAGGTTCCTACCCCAAAAGCAAATGCTGAACCTGTGTCCTCTTTCACCATGAACCAGGATGACATGGAAACACTGTCACCTGCGAGTTCTCCTCCAAGACACATATTATTTTGGTCTTTTTCTGTTCATCATTTTTGCTTGGTAGTATGAATAGGGCCACATTCTGTAATTACAGTTTAAAATAGCCTTTGCAAATGGTGCTGGTATAAGCAAATGGGACTAAACTGATCATGGAAGTTTAAATAATTGCAAGAGAAAAACAATGGACTGCAAAAGTCTGTACAGCCCAATACCATCACAATACATTTACACAAAAAATGATGGTCAAAGAAGCCTCATAGCTCTGGCACATTATTCCTTCTTTGTCTGTGTTTGCTGCATATTGTAAAGGCTGTTTTACATGTTTAAAATAATAAACAAATTCAATACTCAAGAAAATCAATAAATACAGGTAGTTCTGCTATACTTGTGTTTTGTTAAAGCGATTTGGCTGTAATGCGATTGATGAATAGTGGACACTGTTTGGATAACGTGAGCTTTCCGCTATACAGGTATAGCATAGGCATATACAGGACTGGGTTCTGAGGAAGGGTCACTGGACCCAAAACGTTAACTCTGATCTTTTCTTCACAGATGTTGCCAGACCTGCTGAGCTTTTGCAGCAACTTCGGTTTTTTTTCCTGATTTATAGCATTTACAGTTCTTTCGGTTTTTATTACAGATCAACGGCCTCCAGTTGCCTGCATTAAGCGTCCAATTCCAAAGCCAACCACAAGTTCAGTCCAGGTAGTCCCAGACATAAAATGGCATTGAGCAAACCAGCCTGCTCATTAGGTCTGAGTGCAAGGGCCAGAGCCGCAGCAGTGAGACATTCCAAGAGGGTGAAAGGGAGAAATTCCCATAAACGTAAAAGGGCGAGATGAAGGCACTGAATATTGAGTGTAAAACAGGGACAAAAAGACTTTAAGGGAGTAAGAGAAAGAAAAATAGATAAAGCTACAGATTTCAAAGGGAATAGCACAAGAGCTAAAGGGGAGAGATGAAGGGGGTACCCATGTCAAACAGGTTGGGAGAAGACAGCACATGGCCGAGACAAATAGATGGGTGGTGGAGAAAGCATCCATGACAGATGGGGCCCCCATAAGAAATGAAGGAAGGGGTGAGAGAGGACCCCCACAAAGGACGTGACAAGGCAAGAGGGTGCCTATAAGAGATGACAGTGGAGGGGCTTCTGTGAAAAATGGGTTGAACAAGAGATTGCCCAAGAGAAAATGGGGTATCGAGAAGGCACTGATGAGACACAGTGATAAAGGGTGGGTGAGGGATGAGGTTGGGGGATATTGGGAAGTTACAAAGGACAATGGAGGTAGAGGGGAGGTTTAAAGAAGTGTGGGGAAAATGGTGAGGGTTGCAATGGGATAGAGAGAGAGTGGGCAGTTGCAAGAAGATGATGCGGAGGGAGGGAGGCTGCAAGGTGACATGGTGGGTAAGGGGAAGGATAGGATGCAGAGGGGAAACCTGCAAGAGTGGAGGGAGAGGGACTGTTTGCAAAGAATTGGGAAGAGGGATATTATGCAAAGAAATGGGTAACAGGAAGATTTTGCAAGAGGTTTGTTGGGAAGCTCAAGGTGGGTGAGACAGGCTGCAAAAGAGATAGAATAGTTTTAAATTATCCACAAATGAATATTTATCAACTGGGAGCCAAGAAAACCTGAAATTACTGAGATAATGAATCCCTCACTAACGTTGCCTCTCTAGTCTAAAGCTGTACATGTTCAGGAACTGCGACATGGAAAAAGCGTAGTTCATGTTATTGGAAGGAACATTGAGTCAATTGTTAAATTTAAATCTGATATTATGATCTGAGATGCAGCAAAATGTGTAGCAATTGCCTGGTTGAAATCTTCCAGCTTTTTTTCATATGCAATGGAAATGCATTAGCTGTGATCTCACCAAATGTGGAAGGTGTGTTTAGGATGATCTGAAACATAAACAGAACTGCTGATGAAACTCAGCAGGTCCAGCAGCATTTGTGAGGAGAAAGCAGAGTTAACATTTCGAATGTGATGATTCTTCAGCACAGAAAATTGCCGAAGGATGTGAGACATCAACTCTGCTTTCTCCCCACAAATGCTGCCAGACCTGCTGAGTTCTATCAGCAATTTCTGTTTTTGTTTCAGATCTCTAGCATCCCCAATTGTTTGTTTCATTTTAGTGTTTAGAATGATGGCTTTGTGTATGTATACTGCATCTACTATTTTAGGAAAGAAAACTGTTTGCCAACTTATGCCCATTTATCATGTGCCTATTTAAAGATTGGAGTATCCAAGAAGTCAATTCTTCTCTTGAATGTTGTAACTTTAAGTTGAATTTAAGTTTGGTAATTATTAAGGATATTGATGAAATCTTCTAATTCTGCTCTGTGAAAATCAAAATTCACAATGCCAATGTGTCAACACATTGCAGAAAGCATTGTAGTACATGAGTGCATTGCCTAATGAGTTAGTGAGAATGAAAAGTCACCCCCTCTGAGATTTAAAAAAAAGGCCTGAGAAAATCTCAAGAGCAGTCCTCAAAAATACAAATTATTTTGTAACCTGGTAGTGATCTTTTTGACTGTCAAAAGCTCAGCTTGGGCAAGGCTGTCAACAGTCTGGTTCAAACTCAGACAAAGCAGGGATGAAGATGAAACTGGCCACAAGAATACAGTTTGTTGCAGGGTCTGAAGATAATGGCTTTAGTTCCTTTAATATTTAATCTGAGGATATTGCAGTTCATACACAGTGAATGCCAACAACCAACAAATATAGAGACAACAAGGTGCAGAGCTGGATGAATACAGCAGGCCAAACAGCATCATAGGAGCAGGAAGGCTGACGTTTCGGGCCTAGACCCTAGAGCTGTTCATCCAGCTCTGCACCTTGTTGTCTTGGATTCTCCAGCATCTGCAGTTCCTGTTATCTCTGAACCAACAAATATATTTGTGTTAACAAACATTCATATTGTTCCTAAGGAAGCACTAATGAAGCATTTTGTTTAAATGATAACATTGTTTCAATTACCTCTGATTTGTCAGCTCAATCTACTCGTCACTGTAATATCACTAAACCACAAACTCCACGTTTGCAATAAAAATGATTCATTCACGTGCATTTCCTCTTCAAACAATGAATGAGTGTATTATTCCATTATAGCTTCGGGATTCTAAAACTCTAGGTGATAAATAAGCCGCAAAAAGGGAATTGCAGAGGTAGAGGTCACGTTGGGGTTGGAAGCTCTCCTTCCTTCAAACAACGACGGTGACTGTAAAGAGATGAAGGCCCGGTCCGGAAACATTAACAGGCCAGCCCTAGACGCGCAAGGTCAATTCTGCCAAAAGGCCCGAGTGTTGTTTAATTTAGGAATAGCCTTCCGTTCGACTGGGCTGAGACGTTTGTGTGCAAATTGATGCAGCGAGGGTCCGGAAAGCATAAGTCGATTGGAGTATTGGAAAAACTGAGGTTGGCTGAGCTGGGAAAACGAACGGTTGCTTCGAACTTGACCGTGTTTTCTGCTCGTTGGCCTGACACGCAGGTTCCTTGCCCAGGAATAAGACTCCGCCTTGCAGGTCACCAGTAACTAGTCGAGGAGAAGGGCTGGTGAGTGAGTTGAGGGTGGGGAAGGGATGGTGGAAATGTGGTTTGAGATGGAGGGGAGAAGAGGGCTTTACTAAGTCTTTAGTCATTAGGGGAATATGTAGAGATAACAAGGTGT